CACAGATAGCCCATTGTGTAGCTTTGTGCTTAATTACAAACAAAGCCTTAGACTGGTCTACGTAATCAACTGTTTTTTTTCCAAAATTATATAAGAATTTTTGTTATTTTTACATTTCAATGAAATGTTTGAAATAAAAAAAATCTAAACGATTGCTTGGTTCTCCAGTAACAAAAAAAGGGGTTTTATTTGAACGAATGATTCTTTAGTCTGATTTCAAATTTTAGCAGCTCATTTTGAATTTTAGGGTATCGTCTAGAATAAGAGAAATTTTCAAAATGAAAAACTGAGAAAACGCTTACCTTTATTCGAAAACAATTGAAAAAAGTCAAAAATAAACAGAAATGGTTAACCCTTATCACAGAAAATAAACTATATACATCTTAATGAACAGACAAGACAAACTTGTACACCATACAAATAATAAATCAAACTAGAGACTAGACCAAACTATAGATATTAAACAATAAAAACAAATGAAACTAAATAAGTATAAACTAATGTCCAACTTTAAACAAAAACAGCTTCCCCCCAAAAAGAAAAACAAATACTTAAATATACACAAGACTTCGAACAAAAAACAAATCCTCCTCCTACAAATACAGAGTGGCCATGTAAAACACAAGCTTTCGGACTGTACTCAATCCACCCATCAAGCTCAATTACGTTTTGAAAAAGTGATGAATAAACGTTTTAGAGCCTAAAGTAGTGCGCATGTGTAGTTGATTATGTTAGTTTCAGGCTTACTGAGAACGAGGCTTGGACAAAACTCGTATTTTTATAATTGTGGTTATATTCTGTTTTCCGTGGGAAAAGGTAGGAGTTTCAAGACAGGCCAAGTTTTGAATTTGAATGTTTCAAAAAGTTGATTCGCTTTTTAATTAAGAATTAGAACTAATAAATAGTAAAGGGTGGGATATTTCATGTATTTAACTAAAGATAAAATTGGCAGTTATTTCAAACATATCTAGAAGAAAACAACTACCTCAGATCGCGGTAAATTTTGACAATTTTTAAACTTTTATATTAAAGAAAGCTAATTAATTTCAATATAAGGGTTTTGGAACCTCAAAAACTTTAAGGTTAAAATAGTTTAAGATGTCTGATGAAAATATCATTAAGTAATAGATTATTGAACGTATCAATTAAAAACTGTTAAAATCATTAGATACTGGCTCAGTGGTTAGCGTGCTGAACTGGGTTCCGTGGTTCACGTCCCGTAACTACAAAAAATTATAACAGTAAAAAAAAGGCACTCTGCATCTTGGGTAAGTGAGTGTGTCGTGGCGGTCAACTCCCAATATTCCATTACAATAACCCACGTATTGATGGCGGATGGTGTTGACTAGCAGCCTTCCCTCTAATCTATCACTTCAAAATTAAAGACGAACAGCGTAGATAGTACTCGAATAACTTCGTGCGGAATCCGACAGCTAACGGTAAATACGAAATACTTCTTTTAAAATGAATTTTTCGGATAAATAAAACCGAAACAGTTTTGACAAGATCAGTTTATTCTTCATTTTTAAAGGAAAATACAATATCAAGAGAAATGTTGAATTTTAAACAAGTTTGTTCAAACTTCGGGAAACGAGACATTGATGAACGAGTGGCACGTGAGACTTGGATAAAACTCCTTTTACAATTGTATAATTCCAATATGCTCCCCCCCCCACACACACACACACAGTAGCACAGCGGCATGTCTGCAGTCTTACAACGCTAGTGGTGGACAGAGCACAAATAGCTCTTTGTGTAGCTTTGTACTTAACTTAAAAAAAACAAAAAACTGTCACATTTATTTCTATAAGCAACTAAAAGGTTAGCCAGAAAAAAAATATGCATAAATTAATTAATACGTTTGATACTAGCGGCCTTAAATACTCTTAATTATTCCAATTTCAAATGTTTTTTTCCCTTTATTTCTTAACGTGAACAGAATATACCTGGATATTTTTGCAAAAATAAAAAGTATTTCTAAATTTCTAAAGTTTTACAGCAATTCAGGTCACGACTTTTAATGATATTATGAGAATTGATTTTACAAATTAACAAAGTTGCTACGAGTTATTCATAGCGTACCTTTTTCCTTGCTTTGCATAATCTAACGCCCCCCAGTGGTACAGCGGTATGTCTGCGGACTTACAACGCTAGAAACCGGGTTTCGATACCCGTGGTGGCAGAGCACAGATAACCCATTGTGTAGCTTTGTGCTTAATTCCAAACAAACAAACAAAGCATAATCTAACACATACCCAAGACTCTCATCCTTCGCGTGCCCCAGTGGCACAGTGATATGTCTGCAGACTTACAACGTTAAAAACCGGGTTTCAATACCCGTCGTTGACGCATCACAGATGGCCCGTTGCGCAGCTTTGTGCTTAACAACACGGCTAGGACTAGACAAGAAATTCTAGTGGTCATATATTCATACAGACTGTGCTATTGTTTCGTGGACATTTGGCTGGAACTTGTCACTCACTAAATAAGATGTAAGATTTTAAGAGTTTTCTGTAACTTATATTAACTTACAGCATTAATTTGAATGATTCAATATGTATTTGAGTTATTTATGGTATAAATTCGATTAATATATAACATTATATGTCTTAATATTAAACATTTCATTGGTCAACTGTGATAGGTGTGGTACATGGAGCTTTACATGTGACACTCCTGCTTCCAATTAAGGTGCTCGGTAATATCGTTAAGCAGGCCCAATCTCACGAGGTATTCTCGAGTTAAAGGCCGAAAATACCGCTAGCAGCTAGGGTATCCAGCTGATGAGCTAGGGGCAGAGTGGTGATAGAATTCTTTTATAGTTTGCCTCTTACTCATAATTAAGACTATTTGTTATTAATTAAAACTATTATAGTTAAAAGTTTAGCAGCTCTTCTGGTAGAAACTGTTAGGTAACTATTCAAATGTCATGCTGCATCAGACTAGCCCCCCAGTGGCACAGCAGTATGTCTGCGGACCTACAACGCTAGAATCCGGGTTTCGATATCCGTGGTGGGCAGAGCACAGATAGCCCATTGTGTAGCTTTGTGCTTAATTACAAACAAACAAGCATCAGACTAATACACTGATGTTCGTATTCGGTATATGTTTACTCTTGAATGATCTTATTGAACTATCATTCTTGGTGATTATGTTGGTATCAACTAATGGTGGAGTGGTGTAGCTTCGGTAAAACATTCACTGTAAAGGAAGAATATTTCTCCAAACGATAAATAAATAAGACGTATTTTGTTTTTTACTTGTAAGCAAAATACACCTTTAAATATCACCCACTTTGCATTAAAAAAGTAACAGTATATTATTCCTAGAGCTTTCAGGCCCTTGATTATAATAATGACAAGATCTTAATTCAAACGAACGGGAATTTGGCTTCTCAAAACCTCTGTACCTTATATATGTAGCTTATGTTTTGTTTTAAGTTTTTGGAATACGATATTAATTAACAAATTCTTTGCAAAACAGCGTTAAACTTTTCATTGCTAGTAGAATGAATTTTAGATGCTATAATAACAATCGATAACAAGATGCCAGACAGGATACGTCACCGGAAAAAAAACAAAATATAAGCTTTCATGTACTGGCATCTTAATCCAAAGTTTACTTCGAATAATGTCAGTTTTGGCCAAGTTTTGAGCATCTGATATATTTTTCTTACATTTCTTAACCACTTGTAAGTTTAGCAAACCTTAGCTTTTTAATTCAAGGCAGAGGACATTTTGAGCTCCAACTACACACAACTTAGAAAACTTACATTATGATTTATAAATTTCATTCTTTATGTGGAACGCAATCATCTTCAAAACCTTCTTTAAAATTGTGATAAAGAACAGAGTGATGAATCCTTGGCTAATAACGCAAGCGTCTGTTAGATCTGTTGCTGTGGTATCCTTCAAGTTCAAAAACATCAAACGTTGGAACTCGGATGACGTGGTTGTTTCTCCCGCGATGACGACAGTGGACGAACAGGTAGACGAAAAACAAAAGAAGAAGAAAACAAGTGACGCCACTTCCTACAGCAAAATATAACACCGGAAATTTCTTGCAGTGTTCGGGTGACTCGTCATACCCTGATGGACAATGTTTGGTGCCATCACACCAGAGGTCAGGACTGATGCAAGCGTTGATTTCTGGACACCTGACTAGGCAATTGATGTTCCTCAAGGATTGGCCAGACTGAATCTTTAAAGATGGTTTGGCGAGCTCTAACCACTCTAAGCGAATTGTTTGTGGGGAATTTATAAACGTTTCAATAGATATGTAATCTCTTCTGTGCCTGTCGGGTTTCGGCAAAGGCATTTCATCATAAACAGAATTCGTGTCAACAGTAAACAGTTGGTCAGTTCCATTCACACACACTGTAGCAATTGGCATTTGTATATCATTTATGTATATCACTAAAACATTGCCATGAAAACACCCGTACGAAGCGTTAAAACCTCGAAATGTCAAGTACAAACTTTTACCGTAAGAAGAAACAACTGACCACCTGCATCGGAATCCACCAGATAGTAGTTGTGAAACGTTAAACACGAGTTCTCCTATGGAACCGTTTCGTTGGAAAGAGACAGCATTACAAATATTGGAAAAAACGAAACGATAAGACGCTTCAAAATAAAAGTGATTGAAGTCATGTGATACGTTCATGCCCACCACCGTAAAAGTTAAAGTTAAATTATTACTCGTTGACATCAGTTCGATTGGTTTACTCGAGGTTGTTGTATTACAGAAGCAACCAATAGAAAAATCCATCCCAGACCAGTTTTCTCGAACTTTAAGAAACGAGTTTGGTTGAGGAGAAAGATCGAATTCCTTGCATGTTGTCCGTGAAGTTGAATTATCTAGAATCATCTGACAAGTCGATGATGGCGTAAATAACTTTGTTATGGTAATAATAACTCGCGAGAATTTCGAGCCCACAAGAGTGTAAGAACATGTGACGTGTTTGCGGCCTCCACGGCCAAAGTGAAATGTGTTTCTAGAAGAAGATAAAGAACCATGTTTGAAAACGTGACCATCAATGACACGATCACACAGCGAGGTCTCAACTGCGTTTCCTGGCTGATGTGTATCTATAAACTCGTACTGAGCCTTTAAAGAAGGCTGTTTTGTAGTTAATTCAGTCAGTCGAGGATAGTGTACTCTAATCACCAGGACTGAATCTGACGATAAAATACTTTCCTCCGGATAGCGACATGGACGGAGAGGAACCATACCCACTGTATCTGACGCATGGGGACAGAGGGGCGGGAAGCTCTTTTCACAATATGTCTTATTTGTTGTATTTAGTGATGACGCAGTTTCGGACACACCAATCAGTTCTAATTTTCCAGTATCGCAGAGTTCTGAACCCATGGACCAAGGATGTCTGTCTTCAACGAAATACGAAACGAAATAAATCCATACACGATCATACGATGACCTTCCACGTAATATGTAGGTACAGGTGGTGTTTGGTGGTACAGTATGCTGAGGGCTTTCAAGCAGTCCTTGGCGTTTAGCGAGAATCGAACCATCGATGAAGAAAGCGCACTCTTTGTTTGACATGCGCCAAAATGGCTTGGGAACAGCTTTTACTCCAACCTCCAATTCCAACCGAGACTCGTGAAGCCGATGGTAGTCTACACTATGGAGGTGGACAAGAAGATTTTCTCTGCTTGAAGTAATTGGCGCCAGTGACCCAGAACCACAGAACTCTGCTATTACTGGAAAACGAGCCGTTGGACCATCGTAAACACGAACTACGTCACGAGGACATTCGGATGTCAAGGACCAATGATAGATGGCGCCACTATTAGGAAGGCCGCTGGCTATTGAAATTTTATATTCATTTTTTTGAAAGAGAATTATCTGAATCTGGAATCCTGGAACTGAATTTACTTGTTTTATCAAATACGAGCATGTAATGTTCCGGAGATACGTTCCAGGAAAATTGGGAGAATGAATCAAGCATTTCTGTTTATCACAGTCTTTGTACTCCCGGCTGCAACTCACGTCGGTTTCTTTTATTCCGAAAAATAAAGTGTCGTCCACAGACTCTATTGTAGTGCGGGTAAGAAACCTATAGGTTAAGTACAAACTGAAAGACTGCGGGCGCCACGAGGTTCTGCTTGGTAGAAAAATAACCAAAGTAACATTGTTTCCATTAGAAATATAACTGACGCTTTGACCAATCATTTGTCCACAGAAATAGCCAGGTCCTGACCAGTTTTGTCTGGTTGTATTGAAAACGGAAAAATAGCGTTTATTGACTTGATTGAAGTTAGATATTGGTTTGGAAAATCTTTCGTTTGGAAACACACGCACTTCATCCCCTTGGCTTCTGCTGTCTAAGATTTGTAGATGGCCACCATAACAAGTGGCGCTGCCACTAAAACAACGAAAAAAAAGTTTAGTATGGAATTCGTAATTATAAGAATACAAAGTAATGCTAAACATTAAAGCATTGTTTACTTACGTACTCATTACAAGGGTTATCTTGACAGAAAAAAAACATCATAATTATAGCCTAACTCATTACAAGAGTTAGCCTGACAGAAAAAACATCATAATTATAGCCTAACTCATTACAAGAGTTAGCCTGACAGAAAAAACAACATCGTAATTATAACTTAACTCATTACAAGAGTTAGTCTGACAAAAAAAACAACAACATCGTAATTATAACTTAACTCATTACAAGAGTTAGCCTGACAGAAAACCCATCCCAATTATTGTTTAACTCTTTACACGATTTAGCCTGACAGAAAAAACATCATAATTATAGCTTAACTCATTACAATAGTCAGCCTGACTGAAAAAATCATAATTATAGCTTCTCATTACAAGAGTTATCCTGACAGAAAAAACAACGTCATAATTATAGTATAATTCAGGATATAACACTTAAAACTAGATGAACTTCCGCAATGTCCCCGAAAGTGTAAATAAAGAGTAAATAATACCAAAATTAAGAGTAACAGATATTTTTATTTATTGCTTTTCAAGTTCATATGTCACGCTATGTTTTAGCCTACAGAGTGCATAATTCTTCTCGTGATTCATGGCATGCGCACGTTTTACTGACGTCACGACAGTACAAATTCCACCGTTAAGTGTCCCTTATTTGACGTCATTTTAGTCTACTGACTGACTGACAGACAACGTACTACTGTATAGAGGTGCGAGTGGTTAAAATAAGTGACCCTTCTAGAGATTTAGCATAAGGATAATATAACATTAGCCCATGACCCAATAAACGCGATAATGTTCTGGGGGCATGATCATAAGGTAACTTAGCTTATGACATCATACTCGGAAAATATGCTGATTTCTGGAAGAACTTTTCGAAACAACATATCGAATGTGCGTTTAAAGCGTGCACATTAAAAAAGTAATATCTGGCTGAGAAATGACTGAACTGGCAATCTCTCTTAAAGAACGTTCGATTAAAAATTGGAAAAATATACACGTTTTACTGAAAGTAAAATGGAAAATAGATCAGAATATAACGAATGCCCCTGTAAAACTGTTTTTGTACCACGACGTTATTGTATCGCAAGGAAAACAATTTAGAGCAGCATTTCCTTATCTAAATTTAAGAATTCAAACTAACACTCAAAGTAGTAAATACGACTTTCTATATAAATAGTGCTCCAAACGGCGTAAAATTATACAGAAGAACTTTAATTGAAGTTTTCTTTCACGTAGATGTGCTTTTTTTGTTCGGATGATTTACTTTTTATGTCCTGACGTTATACCAACTGCATTGTTAAAAGTAATTAAATGTTGTTTCGAACCTTATTTCAGCGCATTTAATGATAACGCTTTACTCTTTGTATGACTGAGGATAACAGGAACTTATCTTTTATTTTCTGTAAACTGTTTTTACCTTTAAAGTAAAATTTTGTAATAGTAATGTTTTATTTCTTCTTTAGTAAGTTGTGGAAACCATTTTCAACGACCATAAAAAATCTTATACACTAACTATACGTAAGATATTATTTCAACTTCATAATATTCTTTTACTTACGGATAAACAATTAAATATGTTCAAAACCCTCTTTTTTAATACTTATTTTCGTTAGGTTTTCCTGGAATTATTAGGTGACAAACTTCGAATAGAATCGCACAAAACTTCAAACTCGTGTTACAATATCAGTAATGATATTACGTCATTAAACAATAATATAATAGACAGCTAAGTAAAGAAAACCAAAATTAGAATAAATATAAGCGTACACCTGTACGTTTATTAATATTAGGCTTTTGCTTTTGATAAATAGAGTTTCTTTAATCTTTTTCTTTATCAATGAATTCACCAGCTTCAAAATCAAAGTACTGATTGTGTTAAAACTCGTGAGAGGGAGCTTTCAAATGCTATACAAAACATATCACGGTTATTCGATTTAATTCAATAAACTGATATTGATGTGTCATTGTCAGTTTCAAAGAAATTGATCAACTATTTTCCCAGGTAGGAAATATAATTTTACTTTACAATCAACACCAAGCTATCTAACAATTACTGAACACATTTTCTGGATAGCATGTGAAAATTAAGGATTTATGGCAACACATAATAAAGGGGGGATTTCTAAATTCACAAAGCCTTGTCTCTTCGTCCTGTAATTTATTTTCTGCGGATAATAAAGTTCTATTTACTATTTTGGAAGAACACTAATTTTATGATGTAAGTTGAAATTTAAACACGTTTTTTTTTAAGTTAGGAAAAGAAATAAAACTGACGAGATGAACAACATATTTTTACTCTCCATTCTCTAGTTTCTCGATTCGTTTTGTGGCTAACATTTTTATAGCTCTTAAAGACATTACATTCACAGTCGAGAATGAAGCTTTCATTTTAAAATAGTTTTTTGGAAAAAAAAGCTATGAATTCCACAATTCACGTTTTTGATAGTAAGGATTTCACACCCAGGAGTTTACCATCATTAGAATTCCTTCCACGGTCTTAAAAAAATGGGGATCGTAAAAACTCTTTGTTATACAACTAAGAATATTTAACCGCTCAATAGGCTTTAGTGACCATGACACATCAGGATCACTGTATCAAATTAAATTTAAAGACTGTAGTAGTTCTTGCATCATAGAAACTAACCGACAGCTTTCAACGAGATTGAAAGAACGTTTGAACACATGGCTAGACATAATTAACATAACATGACAACATGGGACCTATTGGTCCATCTCGACTGTTCCATCCTATAAACTGAATTAATTTTTTTTTAATTTTAAAACCATCCCTTATCATTCATATATTATCCAGCTTCTTTCTTAAACTCACTTAAATTTATTG